ACACACACACACACACAGACACACACAGACACACACAGACACACACACAGACACACACACAGACACACACACAGACACACACACACACACACACACACACAGACACACACACACACACAGCCACCCACAGGTCACACAGCCACCCACAGAACCACTGTACTATCCACAGAGCTGCATATTTGCAGTATTTCCAAGAAAACACTCAGCAAAGTGGCCAGAGAGGCAAAAGAAGTCAGCACCATGGTCAGAATGGTGGTCAATAGTTATGAGCTGAAGCATTCAGCTGAAGTGACTTTGGTCTCTACTTGGGTAGATACATCATGCTAACTAATTTGATGCGACATAATCCGAGTGAGTGTTTGACCGGAGCAGGGCGGGAACAGCCTCTGCGAGTTAGTCTACCTGTGACATTTACTGTGGCCAGGAAATTCAGACCAGACTGAAAAAATGATTAAGGCAGTGGTAGTTATCACTACCGGTATGCTACCATATTGGGTGGCAGAGAACACAGGATTTTGTTCATTTTGATTGTTATGATTTAATATTTTTAACTGTTGAATTTATTTTGCATATTTATTTTTACAATGTGCAAATAAGCGTCTCTTAGCTATTGTTATTCATGTGTCGACAGACGAATTGCTTTTGGTTTACAGATGTTCCTAATTGTGTTTGCTTGCAGTTTTAATAAATTCAAAACAAATTCTGTTTCCCCAGTTGTACCAAAACTGCACTGAACCGTGAAGCCAAAACCGAGGTTTGTACCGAACCATGAATTTTGTGTACAGTTACATCCCGAGTTAGAACTGCCACTAACAGTTTCCCAAAGTACATCCAATACAGCTGGAATTCGAAGGCCCTGTGTTTCCTGTGCATTTTACAGTAACTCAGACACAATACCATTACTCACCACTATGGGAGGGTTGTTCCACTGCTCGTAGGTGTGTGCCGCGTAGGGGTAGATGCGGTCGTTAATGATCTGTAGCGTCGTGAGGCCGATGGCCTTCATGGAGCTGAAGTAAGCCTCCCAGAACCAGTGAGCCTGACGACGGGGAGAAAAAGCAGTACCTCAGATTCACGAGGTTAGTAGTGCTGGAGGGGAGTGGAGACAGCATTGGTCTAACAGACATACACTGACACGAGTATCAAGGTAAGAGCAACACATTGGCATTTAAAGTCACAGCCAATCACTGCCTATTTAGCCCCTATGAGAACCAATAAAGTCATCAATGGGAAGGTTCATTCACTGCATCACTATTTTGGAGTCATACTGACATCTAGACAGAAAGCTGCTCTCCAAGAAAGCCATCTGAGGTCCACTCTGAAAGAACATTCAGCACCCAGGGCAGGTTCTTCAGGGTCTCAACATCTTGTAGACGTCCGTGACCATGAATGTCAGCCTGAAGTTCATTTATGGCTCTCAGGTAGGGAAGTAAACACCATGCTGGTTGAACAGAGGATCACAAGGGTAATTCAACCCGGCGCTGAGACATCGATGTCCGTCGCACACCTGGGGTCTTAAAAGAGCCGTGAAACAGGCTGCAGGTAAAGCCCACAGCCACTGGCGGACTTTGATCAGACCGGAGGCAGTGAATCAACGTTAAAGGATGGAAAAGGCATTCCGAGTCCAGCCCGGGAAAAGCGGCAGGACATACAAAGGAAAGCCGGCCACACTTTAATACGAAAGGCATGTTGAATGGGCTGCTGGGATCTGACGAAAGTCCGGCTCGGCGCCGTGAAATGAAGCTGGCCCTGAGGAGCAGATTTCCGGGGTGCGTGGCGTCATCTACCCGCGTGCGTGTGGACCGGCGCAGGAGGCCTGCTCAAAAGAAACCCCCCCACTCCACTGCCTCCACGCCATGCGGAGCCCGAGGGCTCACGGGAAGCTGACCAGACTAAACTTTCGAACCTGGGCATCAGTTTCCCATGCAAAAAGGAAGACGCAAGCTAGGTCCTAAACAGGAGACAGACTGAGTGTGACGGGGAGGGGAAAACACTGCGGAAACCCCCCAAACTAGCATGGCACTGATGCCTACCAGCACAGTAATACGCTTTACCTATTATACTACGACATCAGAGGGAAAAGAGCACTTACCCCCCCCCCCCCACCATGCATTCTCTCCCTAGCAGGAAACTGGAACCTCGCCAGCCCTTCCAAGCCCTTGAATTTGGGCCAGAAATGTTCACTTATAGATGAAAGACAGTCGAGCTCCAACCACCAGGTTCTAAAGTAAAATTATTTTAGTGCAGGCAAAGGACCTCTGGAGGGTGCTGCTCAGCTGTTGACAGACAGGCTGGCCTGCACATGGTACAAGGCTTAACGTGAGATCTGCTCCCACACAGAGACTCTAGTTCACTGCAATGCTTTCTTTTCTTGGCCCGTAGAGTATCCCAGAGGTGCCCTGCGAGGGGCAGACGGCCTGCGACACGCACCCAGAAGCGCGTCACGGAGCAGGGATAGACCTGCAGATAAGCCCCAGGACGGAGGTCTGCGGGAGGAATGCATCCACGAATCGACTCCCCCCCCCCCCCCAAACACACACATTTGCTCTCATGCATCTGCATCTTTTAGGCCATACTCTCCTGCCAGCTTGTCCTTTTGTCATGTTATTACTATAGCTGTTTATTCCTTTGGCAGATGCGTTAATCCAGAACAATGTGCAAGCCAACGCGAATTTTCCATGCTGAACTTTCTGGCGTTCCATTCCCTGGGCTTACTCATCCCGCTGCTTTTCTGGAAGCTTCTCTTTACCCCAGGGCACTGCTATTGATAAATAAATCAAATTCACTTTCCTTATTTGACACGAGACAGACAGTCACGCAGTACCTACACACAGATGGTGGGAGTTATTTGCATCAACGTCAATGCTAATTTAGTCATTATACTTAAAAATTCCATGATAATAGTCTGTTTATTTATCAAAGTGGCAGTAGATGATTATTTAGCCCTTGAACTCGAATCCCAGCCTATTCGTTACACCTCATTACATTCACTTCTCTGCTACACCTTGGGGCGCCAGTCCAGGCTAACAGGTTATTATTAACAGCAGTGTAATCTGGTGCTAATACCTCATCAAACGCAGATAACCATTAACATCACACGACGCAGCTCACAGCCAAATGCTCAACCAGAGGCGTATGGAAGCAGATCAGCACCCCCCACATGGCAACAGCGGGGGGGGGTCCCACCCACGCCCAGAATCAGCCACGTTACACAAGTTCTCACCCCCCATACTGTTCCTTAGAGGTCTGCTGCTTAGCCCACTGCTTCCCCTTAACACCCCGCCCCCCCCACAAAGCCGGGCGCGTTACACCTTGGAAAAACACGGGACTAAAAACAGCTCTTGTTTTGATGTCGAGGGGGGAGACGGAGTGCCTTTTAAAAGACTTTTCCAGTCCCAGCGGGGGATCAGCTGCCCATTAATCAGGGAGTGATGAAAGTTGCCTCCCCAGCGAGAAGCAGGTCCAGCCCGCTTGCCCTGTGTGAGGAAGGTGCCTCTGGAGACAGCAGCAGGGATGGGGAGACAGCCCCTATTTCCTTAACGCGAGAGGAAGGACTCACTGCTCCTTAACAAAAGGATCCCAAGGGATTAAACCTGGAAATGTGGGAATACAAAGAAGAGTCAAACATCACTGGGTATTACTCTACTCATTCTATACAGCTCAGCCGCTCACATGTCAAGCGAACTCCATATCATTAATGTGAATAAAACCCAATACTGATACTCAAAAAGCACCCTTGCAATTACACGGTTTTCATTTATATAACATGTCAGTTTCATTCCACAGCCAGGTCACTTGTGTAATATGTGATGAGATGAACAAGAGCTCTCAATCTGAACGCAGTACCCCACACCTCCAGCAGGGGTAACCCGCACAGCTCGCTGAGCCATCAAAGCACAGTCTCGATAAATCAGGCTTCTGCGATGCATTGCCGATCGCCACGGCAACACGGCATTTACATTTCCTCACATTGGTCTCCCGGGTGAGGCAGACGTCTACGCCTGGCAGCCTCCGAGTGCCAAACACTCAGCGATAATCTCCCTGGGCACTGACGGCGGCGCCGACCCGAAACGGGAAGATCTTGGGGTGGAGCACGGCTACCGCTCTGCCAGGGCGTGCAAATGCAGACAGCTGCAGGCTTTCATGTATGACAACAGGTATGTAGTTACAGCAGGGCCATCACCTGCTACCCATTGTTGGGGGGGGGGGACATGAAGAGGATTCATTACCACTAATTATTCATAAATGTATATAATAATGTATACAAATCCAAAATAAAAACAGAACAATCATTTTGCTGGCAAGCGGTTAGAAAATCAACTTTTGGACAACAAATAAACTGAGTTTGGTGCATATTTTAATTAATGTCAAAACCTGGCTGACAAACAGAATATAAACTATCACCCAGCTTCAGTTTACGTTTGGCGTTCGAATACAATGATAAAACAGCAAGACTACAAAACAGAGCAGCGTGTGAAGCTACAGCCGGCAGCGTCTTGCACTGCGGTGGAAGACCACGGTTTGAGCGCCCTCTATTGTAGAAACAAAACAGTGCAGCCCCCCGCCATGAACTTTTCCCAACTGCACAGCATCCTTTGACAATCCCACTCCTCATCATTCACAGAGAGGATGCTGACACCCTGGATGGTACTCACACACACACACACACACACACACACACACACACACACACACACACAGAGGCACACTGACAGCAATTCTAAGATGTGATGTATTCTAACTGGGCTGAGGGAGGACAACACTGGGACACAGGAGAAAATCTCCAAGCGTACAGGACAGAGGTGGGACTCCAACCTACAATGCAGGAGGTAAGGCGACTCCTAGTGTAACAGTCATTAAAAACCTCCTGGGACAGGACTAATCACGGCGGGAGCAGTTTGGAGGGCCGTCTGCAGCACCTGAGGGCTCACTGATGCTTACTGGGACCTGGAGTGTCTCATGAATCCCATTTGGTGCCTGAGGACCTCCAAGCGGCTCCGTCACACACCCACCTGTCTCTGCATCTCTTCCACCTGTCTGTGAGGGATGCTCTTCAGGATGGTGTACATCTCCGGGAGTTTTTCTTCCGGAATGACCACAGACGCCCTGCAGGAGATGAATAAAAACACAGATACACACACACAGACAGAGACAGACAGACAGACAGACACACACACACACACAGACAGACACACGCAGACAGACAGACACACGCAGACAGACAGACAGACACACGCAGACAGAGGCAGACAGACACACACACACACACACACACACACACACACACAGACAGAGACAGACAGACACACGCAGACAGACAGAGACAGACAGACACACGCAGACAGACAGAGACAGACAGACAGAGAGAGTGTAAGGCAGCTTTCTGGTGTGGCCTGGTGCTCCGGCTCGCTCTGCCCCATTTCTACATCCCTGACCCTCAGACCCTCAAGTGGCTGCTCACCGCTTCCAGTCCAGAACCTCGGAGAAGGGCAGAATGTAGGAGTCTGCCAGGATGACGGGGACACAGGCAGCCTGCAGCACGTCACTGAGGGCAGCCTGTCCGAGGCGCGCCCCCCGCAGCACCACGCAGAAAGAGGATTCCTATGCATAGAGGCAGACATCACGGGGGAACAGGGCACACCACACTCAGAGACATTAAAATCACTATGCAAAGTACAACATGAGGGGACATTCCACTTTAAATTCAACAATTTTACAAAAAAGTTTGTGTATAATTTTCGATTTTGATAAAATTTGGAATGTGAATGACACGTACCTTCCAGAGCTTATCTACTTTTTTTAATTCCCTTTGCGGTGCAGTGTCATTTCTGCACCCCGGGTAGCAAGAAATGATAATTCAGGATGTGTTCTTACAAGTCGTAATGTTTTTACTATTACAGCACTACTCAGAAAGACTACTTCACAGGTCAAAGTTCATCTCACGAACTGCACTTTTTTTTTTTTTACTTCTTTCAGTTATTAAACAAAAGTGAAGTCATTATTTTTTATAATGAAACACATATGTATGTGTACTACTTGTATAAAACTTTGACCTGTTACTTGGTCACCCCAAAAATGTACAAGTTTAACACAAACTTCAAAGATTGTTAGAAGTCTACAAGGAGTTAAAAAATAGCATTTTTTAAAAAACTGTATCAAAATGTAGGCTACAGGATTGAACTGAAAGCCACAAGGTAAATCTTTCTGTTATACTGATCTATGTGTAGCCCAGGCCCACTTTCCTGACAGGCGAGATGGTCACTGGTCAGTCACTGGTCAGTCACTGGTCAGTCACTGGTCAGTCACTGGTCAGTCACTGTCCCAAACGCGGTAACTAGCCTGATATCATCAATTAACGATAATATCGTCAAATTACACAAACCTAATAGAGACAGACGTCTCCATGGAGGTCTGTGTGTAGCACTTCCTGCGTAGGCTGATCTGGGACAGGGAAGTGTCAGAGTTCAAAGGTAAACCCTCACACTCCCAGAGCAGTCAGCTTCACGGGGTGTTAATCACGAAAATCTCCCACAGGTAGTGGGTTGGTGATAAGCATGCTTCCTGTCTAGATGCCACGGGGTCGGGCCAGACGCAAGGGTGACAGCTCCTCCTAAAGCACGTTTAGAAGCTGAAGACTTGTTTATCACAGTACCAGCAAGCATAAATGAAAGCTGTAATTCCACAAGATGCGAGCACTGTTGAGCCCAGGTTGCCTGAGGCTCCCGGTCTGCCCTGGGCTTGCCCTCGGTCTGCGCATGGCTCACCCACGGCCAGCCCCCGGCCCACCCCCAGCCTGTCCACGGCCCACCCCCAGCCTGTCCACGGCCCACCCCCAGCTCGCCCACCCACCTGCAGGATCTGAGGGTAGTCGAACACCTGGCCGCGGCAGCAGCGCTTGCGGGCCGAGACGGCGCCCTGGGAGAGGTTGCTGCACTTGTCCAGCAGGAGCACGGCCTCTCCGTTCTCCTCCTTCAGCCTCTCCAGCTCGGCACGGTACTCGCGATGCACGGCCGTCTGCGCCGACAGGATGAAGTAACGCCGGGACCTGTGGACCAGGACCAGGACCGGGACCAGGACCGGGACCGGGATCAGGATGGAGGCGGGACAGAGCAACACGCAGAGGAGTTGGGAACAGGAGAGCCAAATATAAAGCAATGAGGCCCATTGTTCACAGGTGATGATGTAAAAAAAACCAAGAGCCATTTGCAGAGATAGCAGCTCACTACCAGTTAATTCAGTCACAGTACAGCCAAGGAGATAGCCTTCTGTTTCAGATCTAGTTGCTGCTGCCATATCTCATTAAGACTTAACATTTACAACTACAACAAAACTATAATAGAGTAAATAACAGTGTGTTTTGTTACAATAGTCAATCAACTGTATGCACTGTCCAGCATTCGCTGTAGCATTTAAACCACTATTCAGGTGATGTCAGCACAGTTTGGGTATGACTACAAATGAATAATTTCAGAAGCAAGCAGCACCCACTGTACAGCCAGGGCAATATCAGACTTTCAGGCAGGACAGTAGAATGCACTGCATGACTCAGCTGGTGATGTCACTAGACACTATATCGTATATCAAGATTAAGCTTACTAAACAATAAACGTCTCATTGTCTCAGTGTTGCACCATTACTGATGTCAGCAAAATTCTGTCTATGACAGGTAAATGATATATGACGGAGTTATGTGGTCACATTGTTCAGCAGGTTACAAAATACTGCAGTGTAAATATTACATTGGCCCATTATGAATTCTGTATGTGAAACCTTTAAGAGTTGATATCTGCAAAATATCGATGCAAATTGAGCTACCAGTAAATATTCACCAATGAAGCTGATATTTTGCCTGAATTTGCTCTTCTTATAAGCAAACAAAATGAAAGGGTAAGAAGGTGATATTTACATGTTTAAAACATAAGGTCCACCCTAATGCACACCCTGAGTGGTGGAGCGACTGAGCGACACAAATCACTGCCTGGCTCATACCAGTGGGAATCGGTGCCGTTTCCAACAGGAAATGGACTAAACCGAGAGGTGATGGGAGATTCATTGTACAGTGGTACCTCAGTTCTCGAACTCATTAGAACTCGAAATTCTTAGAAGTGAAACCAACCAGTTCAGAAAAAAAATACCTAGTACTCTATCTGAATCTCAGAAGTCAAACCGTGAACGCCGACCTAAGATAACTTGTATGCGCGGGGAAATGAGTCACGCGGCACGTCTCTCAGCAGTAACAAGGGGTAACGCTTCAGTCTCAGCCTCGCATTCGCTGTGATATCATTGTGTATGTTTACACTAGCTGAATACATATATTTAGACAGTAAAAATACATTTAGACAATGAAAGACAGTAACAGTAATTATTATTATACAATAAAATACATTTAAAAATAAAGATTTTTTTATTAATTATTTTAATATTAATAATAAACCATTAATACATTTAATTATAACAATATTGTCGTGCCCAGCGGGGACGGAACGGAGACAAAGGCACAGATGTCAGGGTATCGGGGAATACGGGGTTTAATTACAGGTAAGGCAGGCAAAACGCAGACAGACAATACAATGACCGTATTGGGGAAGCAAACTGAAACGCATACTAAATACAGAGGACTAATGATGATAACCAGAAACAGCTGATCACATGGGGATTCCACACGGGGTTAACGAGGGGGCGTGGCACACGGAAGGGGCAGACGATCGGGGCAGGACACATTGTTTTTTTTTTTAACTTTACACATTGTTTGGATACATTTATTTTCTTACTTTACAAATTACTGTTCTGATAAATGTCTTTAGATGTGTTTAGTACAGTATATGCTCTACTTGTTTTATCCAGTTCATTTTGTGTTTAAATGCTAAAAAAAAAATATATTTAGGTGTAATTTTTTGGGGCCGGGAACCAATTAATTGGTTTTCCATTATTTCTTATGGGGAAAATTCGATCAGAACCTGAACTTTTTAGGATTCGATCCGGAGCGCTGAACGGATTAAGTTCGAGTTCTGAGGTACCACTGTTCTCACAATCGTCTTAAAACTGAAGTCCTCCCATCATCAGGACAAGCACGTCACCACCAATAAAGAGGGACTCAGGGCAGTTAAAGCTATCTGTGTTTGAGGCCTCACCCCGGCTGCCTCTCTGGCAGATCCACCTCCGCAGACAGGGGGCTGTAGACGGGAATGCTGACATCATAGCCTTGCCGGTAGGTCCATGTAGAGAACCCACCGCCGGCAAGGAGGGCCCTGGAAGAGCCAAAACAGCCCCGTGTCACTGCAGAGCATCAGAGCATGTAAAAGAATCAGCAGCCATTAAGGAAGGGGCCTCATAATACAGAGAAGGTACAGAGTCGGCACACGGTCGGACTAGCAGGAATGGCTGCCTCTTTACCTCCACTTATACACTCCATGCTGTCATCTTCACCGGCTGCTGATTCGATTAAGACAAGAATATGCAGTCCTTTCCATAGAAGGTGGGCCTATTCATATGGAACTACCGGTGTTTTCTTTACGCCGCACACAGTTGGGGATGACGTCATGTAGGGAATAACTGGAGTCGAAAGTTAACGTAAGCGGGTGGGGTGAGCGATCTCATTATTGCAAGTGACCGACGGTACAGCTAGTCATGAAGTTTCCGTACGCTGAAAGGGGCACGTGCCCACATGATGGCCATGATACATCCATGTGTCCTGCACATCTGTCAGCACAAGCACATGTGCATATGCACATATAGACACAGAGGGGCCGTCTGTGGTTCCGCGTTCCTGGGCTGTGTTGAATGGGAACTTATGTGGCTCCTGGCCACTATTGTGTGTCACTTTGAACTGGGACCTTTATGCTAAATAAGCAGGGGAGACGCAAAAGGCTTGTAAGTTAAGCTACACACGTAATATCACACAAAACTATACAGCCACCCCAAAACAATGGAGGATGAACAAGTCACTTTGCTTTTCCTGGTGAAACTCCTCCAGAACCATTTCTACTGTGCTTAGGTCATGTGATGCAACACCATCACTATGCTTTGCAGGCAGCTTTCAGACTTTTGACTAGTACTGTACATAGTACATTTCAGAGGTTAGGCTTTGAGAACACAGATATCCTGGCTAATAACTATATTGTTCAGTACAGCAAACATAAATATATGAAAAGGCAGCCTTGTTTACTAAAAACTAGATCAAACGCACCATCATGCTTAGCACAGTTTTCTGACTAGAAATACGTATCACTTACTTTTTCTATATTTTACCAAAAATCCTTACATAATTGCTTTCCATCAGATACTCTGAGGGATCATGAACATATTACCAAGTTTCCCCGGCTTTCGCTTTAGATGTCAATAAACTCAATATATCCCTCCCCCTTTGTGACACCAGCAGGTCCAGTGGCGGTCAGTACCGGTCTCTGGGCACGTCCAAGGCAGTGTTGTAGTCGGGGGGGCCACCGGGCAGCATGTTAAACAGCAGGTGGTTCATCCCTCTGTCCCACCTGGGAAATACACCCACAGTGTGATTAACAGCATTACTGACTCTCATCACATGCAGTGACAGAAATGCCAGAGAAATGGTGAAGTATAACCATTACAAGTAGGGATGCACTGAAATGAAAATTCTTGGCCGAAACCGAAAACCAAAAAAGAGGAAACGAAGGCCGAAAACCGAAACACCGAAAGAAATTATGCCAATAATTAGTACCATTGTATTTATGGCTATGACTGTGTACTAACCTTACTAAAATCAAGGCATTGCGATTGCATAAATTAATATTAAAGTTTCAAAGAATAAATCAGTTACAAATTATGAAAATATTTATTTAGCACATTACAACAATGCACAGTATAAAATAAAATAAAATTCAAACTTAAATGTTTAACTTAACCGCACTCTCATATCCAGCATGGCGATCGGGATGTTTGGATTTCAAGTGATAAATTAAACCCGACGTGGAGAAAGTCTTTGCAGACGCACCCCCTCTTGAAATTTCGGCATTACATGTTTTGCAAATCGCTATCCGTGGGTCTTTCTCAGATATATTGAAATACGTCCACACCGCAGACATGCTGCTTCAGACAAGCTCGTGCAGGCCCCGGTTTCTGTTTGCGTCATCACAACATACTGTTTCAGGCGTGTTTTTCGGTGATAAAAATCTTTCGGCCGAAAACCGAAAATGCACTTTTGGGCCATTTTCGGCCGAAAATTTTCGGTGGCCGAATATTCGGTGCATCCCTGATTACAAGTATAACAAGAATTATTTTGATGCTCAGAGGAAGACTTTTAGATGACATACATATTGACAGAAGTAACAAAAAGGTGAATCGTCTTGTGTAACAGGAATAAAATCCAGGTTTGGCATATCATCTATAACCAGTGCTGCCCCTCTCACACAGGCTAGACTGGGAGCCCCATTCACTCTGGGCTCACCGGGGCAGCATGGCCAGGGCCTGGGCGGTCTCACGGATACGCAGTGAGTTCTGGTTCAGCACGTCGATGGAGGGGATGAGCAGGCAGGCTCGGCTCACGTCGTCCGTGTAGAAGTCGCTGTCGGAGATGGCGCTCAGCAGGTCATTGTACTCGCGCGAGAGCCCCGTGCTGCTGATGGGGGCTCCCACATCGTCCACATAGCGCTGGAAGGGGTAGATGTACACCTGCAGGGAGACGGCAGAGCCGCCGTCAGAAGCTGCCTGTAATTTTTTGCAGGTTATTTTTTTTGCATGATCAGCTAAGAAATGGGGTTCATTAGAGTAGTGTTTCCCAATACAGCCCTTGGGGATCCACAGACAGTCCATGTTTTTGCTCCCTCCCAGCTCCTGGTGCAAAAATGTGAACTATCTGTGGGTCACTTAAGAGAAAGCTGGGAAACACTGCAACAGAGAAACAGGACTGACTGGCTGTTAAAACAATAAGTTAAAACAACAGCAATTTAATAACGATTTCCGAAGGTGCTCGAATATGCATTGTAGGGCGTCACCTTGATGCGGTTCTTGGGGTTGTAGCCGCAGCGGTAGACGTCGAAGCAGGTGTGCATGCGACAGCTGAGGTCGCCCCTCTCCGGGATGGAGCTGGCCACGGGCAGACGCACCAGTGGTGCATCATGAACGCTGCGCCGGTCCACGCTCCAGTCCGCTGTGGACTCGATGGAGTGCGGCCAGAACTGGAACATGCCAGTGGCGATGAGGCCCAGCAGCACCACCGAGAAGAGGGTGATGTAGTAGATGCGGTGCTTGGTCTTCATGCGCGGGATGAGAGCCGGACCCCGGGAGCTGTACTTCACAGATGCGCACATGCTGAATCCGACAATGCGGCTCAGCCACTTTCAAATAAAAATAATCAAATGAAATAAAAATTAATAAAAAAGCATGACAGGTAGCGATGATCTAACCAGTATTCAACGCAGATGTGAGCAAGTATAAAATATCAATTCCGATGGGGAAATATTTAGTCTTAAGTCTTAATGATGTTGTAATGCACCACAACACACCCAATTAAGGCGCCTTGGGGCGACACTGTTGCGAAAGGGCTATATGAAATAAAATTGAACTGAATACATACCTTTCTCAGCATGACGTCTACTTAAGTACAGTGCTTTCTATATAACAAACGTTACATTTTATATATCATTGGGTTACTGGTGTTACTGGTTTTTATAAGGAATTAAAACGGCAGCGTCAATATGATTATAAATATAATTAATCATCAGACTAGTAACTAGAACAATCGCTATAATAAAACTGAATTACTTATTATCCAAATATGTGAGTACTCGATCATTATCAAGCTACTCAACTGATACTCAGTTTCCATTCCCAGGAAAATTAACAATCTAAACATAATTCGCGCAAACAGCCCAAAAGAAGCATGTACAAACAATCAACTATATAATCTTATAAAATATGACGAACTCAAACAAAATAAATCATTGAAAATGCAAATGTGCGACCTGACAGAGCTGACAGTAGGATCATGTCCAGACCTTCTTCTGAGAGTCCCACAGCTTAAGTCTTAATATAAATGCCGAAGCACTTAATACAATTCAGTAGCTTGCTGGGGATACTAGGGATTTCCATAAGTATTCCTTCTCTTCGTCTGTTGCATAGTTTATATTCGTTACGCGTGACCAGACCACCGTTTATATTATTTCGACTTTTTGGAAGATTACTACTTCATAAACAACAAACCAGCATGGCAGGTTGACTTGACAACTGCTCAGCTACGGAACCAGACAAATGGGAAAAAAATAGTCTGCTTATTTTGTTATTATGTTCAATAATACGAACAGGGATGTTTTATTTTAAGAGAAACAGCGGTCTTGAAAACCAGTTAGACACCCACCCTGTCCATGATGCTTTAGTAACAAATTATAATCCGCTCAAACTGACCTTCATAGACGCCCAACCGCTTCGGAACGTAACGCTGGGCAGTTATTTCATATTTTACTTAATTATTTAGCCGGACAACTGTCATATTCAGAAATTAACTTTTAATGACTTGTTTCTGTATCCAGACGTCGTTGAAGGAGCAAATCACGGAGTTACGTGATAGGGAGGCGGACGTACGTCTACCATAGACACCACAAATCGGACCCAGGCGTTTTACAGCAGCGCCACCTGACGTTGCGGTGTACACTTGCATATCTACACTATATGCCAATCCAGCGGCTAACCACACAGATTCAGAAACTCCAGAAAAAAAGGTTCTTTAAACTAAAAATTGATCTTGCATCACGCTTTAATAGGCGAGAAAGTATAACTGACGGTTAATTTTGGGGAATGCCGGTAAAGTATTTGATATTGTGCCTCACTTCCAACAGAATTAATTTGGTTTACAGAGTCCACCTGGCTCGGGAACTTCTGGAATTCTCCCAGGACAAGTCAGTATCTGTGGCCATGGAAAAGGGGGTGTAGTCTTAGCTGCTTTGCATGCTGCCATCTCAGTGACCAGGAGAGGCACGAGGAAAATTAAATGAGGTTCCTGGAATTTAAATTCTGCCACAGGTAGTGTCGCCAATTCCACTTCTAATAAGCCACTTTGTGCTTATTCTTTTCTGTTTGCTGCTAATAAATATTGTCTCTCACCAAATGTTTTTGGCCTGTTTTGCAAGAATAGAACTTGTTTATTTGGCCAATAAAAAGATTGTTGAGATTGTGTTGTGTAATACCCATAATAGTCTGAGATGCAGTCATCTCCAAAAAGAAGATAATAATAGATCCTTTATTGTCCCCATGGGGAAATTCTTTCCTACACCTCCCTCAACTTGCTCTTTGTAGAGTAAACTGTCTGCGAAGGGCAGCCACCTGTTGGGGCACCCAGGGAGCTGGGGGTTAAGGGCCTTGCTCAAGGACCCGCAGAAATACTGAGGCTGGGTTTCAACTGGCAACCTTCTGATTACAATTTGTGATGGTATAAACTAATAAGAGGAAATGTAACTGTAATCCTGATATGCTATTCATACACCTTTGCTGTTAGCACAATCATCTTTATTAGTATAGTGGTTAGCATCCCCTGCTTGCACTCGGACACTGGGGTTTGATTTCCTGGTGGGGAGAGGCAAGCTGTTTACTCTTGTACCTGGACATTCATTGGAAGCTCAGCCTAGTTGGCTCCTTGACTGTGCATGTTTATAATATGCAGTTTAACTCACTTGTCACTTTCGACGAATATATAACAGACATATATAAAAATAAACACAAGCTTAACATTAGTTTACTTTTCACACATTTCTTCTACATGTGTCCATTACAAGCACATCCGTCCATTTTATAAATAGAAAACAAGATATTTGGAGACCTAACTGAAATATTATTTTATTATGAAACAAACTAACTAAATAAAACAGAACTGAACTAAACCTTAACAAATTTAGGTTTGGAAATGGTATAAAAGCATTGAATTGTCATTACAGTGTCTGCTGTAATACCACTGGTTTGAGGAACTGGTGTGCACTAGCCTGTGCTGCTCTGAGCTTTTCTGACCAGCAGGTGACTCCAGTGAGCATTCAAAGCTTAGAGAATTTAACCACTTTTCAACACAACTGTCTGGAAAGCTTTCCCCAGTCATCACTATGCTCTGCCAAAAAGGGACTTGCACCGCAGGGCGATCTTCCTCCCGTGACCCCATCAAGTAGAAAACAGCGCCCCCTGCAGGCCCATCATCCTCCTGCATCCCCCTGCAAACTCCATACATGCATGCCAGCCTACCCCTCTGTCCCCTGCTTCCGCTTCTTCCCAGCTCGCGCTTTCAGCCTGGCCCAGAAGCTTGCTCCATCCCATGACTCAGGTCCGAGTCACTTGCCACCCGAGTCCCCTTAGCACGTCCTGAGGCCAGCGGAGAGGAAACCACAGGTTCTGCTGGCCTGCGAGCAGCTGATCGCCTACAAGCAGTGCCCATGTGTCACAGTATCCTTTAAATACATTTAAAATATAAGTATAATATTCAAATATCTGTAATTCTATCTGCATATTACTCAAGAAAAGTAATTTCTAATATATAATGTCTTATGTCATGTATCCCTGGTGTTTGCGCCTGTTGTTGCACCGAGCTGAACAGAATCTAAACAGCACCAAGCTGGCTGCGTGAGTCCTGAATATGGACTGTGAGCTTTACAAGTCTTTCTCCTGCTGGGGCATTGCACCTCCTATTAGAGTACGGAGAAAGGTGTAATATGGAAGGCGGAAGAGAAAAAAAACGATAGCTTGAATTCTTGAACTGTGACAATTTATATATATATATATACAGTATATATATATATATATATATATATATATGTGTGTGAATATGTTGATATAAGTGATAACAGCAAAGATCCATCCATCGTCTACCTGGGAGGTTTGGAGACGCCAGTCAGGCAGTCTGTATGTCTTGAAGGGAAGTAACTGTATTACCCAGAGAAAATAAACAGAGAGAGAGCATGCAAACTCCACACACACAGCAGTGGTGAGAGTGCTGTAAGGCTGCAGTTCTGTGGCTCTGTGGGTTAGGAGGTCAGGCCTGTGGTCAGAAGGGCCCTGATTCAAACCCTTGGGTCAGCAGTGATGTCACTATTAGATCCCTGAGCAAGAGCCTTTCTCCTAATTCCTCCAGGGACTGGCTGACTCTGCTCTTGCAATAGTACCATGCTTTGAATAAACACGTCTGATAAGTAAAGTTGATTTGAGGGATAACTATGCTACCAACTGTTAATATCGTAAGAGAGTGCCAGTCTGTCAATGTAATTATACCATCAGATGTCATAAAATGGGTTGCTAGCAAATTCTCCTGAGATTTCCATGTGCTGTTATATGTACAGCACATATAACATGTAGATATGTATATAACATGTATTATATGTATATATACCATCACATTTTCCCCTGCTGTGATTTTAATTCATCCCCTAAGAACATACGCACTGAATTATATGAAGCATAACAGTGCAGTTTGCAGTCTTTAATAAAGGACACAGAGTACAGGATACAGACACAAACCAGAAATGAAAAAAAAAGTGTGCAGGTAGCTTTTAAACAGTCATTGTGACACCATCATAGGAAAAAGCATCTTTGTAAAATATTTTAATTTTAAAAACAATTCTAATACAACTGAAAACTGATAAAGGTCAATAACAATCACATGTAATTTCTATGACGAACATGTCACAATATTTTTTAAAAATACACCAAAAAATTTTGGAACACTCTCTGTCTCAAACACACACACACACACGTACGGACACACTGGTATGTACACAGAGGAAAAGCTTAGAACAGTATGAAACTAGCAAAAGGTCTAATGTGAGTGAGTGCAGGGGCCCAAACAGGTTACAGGGTTTACAGGGACACTTACAGAGAGCACAGCGGCACAGGCAGCGCCCCTCAGCATGAATACTCTCCTTCTGGATGTCAGTGCAGCGGCTCTGCCCCCTCCAGCTCAGAAACGCAGCAGCAGCCAGCTTCAAGTTCTCTCTCACTTTACATTTTCCAGAATTTCCATATTTATTGTTCTTACAGTGAACTCAGTACCCCAAATGTCCCGCCATGAAGTACGAGTCATTACAGCGTCACCAATTTGGCAGTATAAAAAGAGGAAGAATATGACGTCTCTTAATTTCACAAGCCATTTCCCTTTAGGAACATCCTCCAGTACAGGCTGCCAGGTCTATGGGATTCCTCTGAACAGACACATCGCAAACACCATGGCGAAGAGCTGGAGAGAGAAAACAGGGGGAAATTATTTGACAAGGATCCCAAGATGTGATAGCAATATGAACAAAAACAACACTGTCTAATTATGCATAAACATTGACTGTAAACTTCTTTTGAGCTTAGTGATTCAGTGCATTAAACATTTCATATCTGAAACATCGTTTAAAGTTAACTGCAGTTCCAACATTCGCCACAGCGTGTCACTGTACTGCTGCTGCTAGAAACTCAGTCAGGTAATTCCGGAAAACCCATCTCATGCTTCACCAGAATATTTGGGCTGCATATTTTGGGAAGCTGGCAAAGCACTTTTATCATAATAATAAATGATACCAAGCCGGTAGACTTACTTCAATAGTCAACACCACGATGGCCAGTGCACCAGCCAGGTAGATGTACATCTCAAAGTAGTCTACTCCTGCTGAGTAACAGCCCTGATAAAAGGGAAGGACATGTGTCCGTGACCAAAAGTACAAGGAGCTCATCACATCTGCTGAATGATGCATGTTGGCATCAATCTTACCAAAGTAATGAGGGGGTTGTGTTTTCGCTCTGTTGATGGTGATAATATGTCTGTTCTTATAGCTGAGTGTTATTACAGTCAATACAGAAGCCTGTGTGTGACTGGATGGAGTGTGATGCTTATAAATGCCCCAGTACATCCACAAGACAGCAATAACAGCACAGTGTTTCCATAGTGCTGGCCAGTCCGTCCTAACTAGAGGCTGCCTTCACTTATTATGATGTCCAGTAACTGTTAAATTAGCTAAATCGCTCAGTTCGGCTGCATTGTTCTCAAAGGGCGATTTATTCTGCATCCTAGTTTCATGTATGTTTATACAAGTTATTAAATGAAGTGTAAGAAACAATGAAAAAATGAAAGTAGAAACATGCAGGCAACGATAGCTTACTAAATATACATCAGTATGATGGGGACTCTGCTTTTAGATGCGTAAAGTACAGGGGAGGGTATAATCTGGACGGAAAGACACTTCATCACAAGGCTCTCATACAGTAAAGGTAATTCAGGGCTATAAATTCAATTACAGAGCCTTCAGGGGAGAGGACTGCTACACACTGGTGGGGGCCAGAGGGGACTGCTACACACTGG